AAAGAGTATCGGGCAAATGTATACTGGGCAGTGACCCTTGACTTTAAAAAAACATCAGTGTAGGGTATACCGGGCAGTGGCACTTAACCTTAAAAAAACATCAGTGTAAGGTATACCGGGCAAATGCATACCGGGCAATGGCACTTGATCTTAAAAAACATCAGTGTAGGGTATACCGGGCAAATATATACCGGGCAATGGCGCTTAACTAGACCTAGTATATATTTCGGACATTTATGGTCCAGTCAAACAAATTCTAGTTAAGTGCCATTGCCCGGTACACCTTACACTGATGTTTTTTGTAAGGTCAAGTGCCACTGCCTGGTATACATTTGCCCGGTATACCCTACACCAGGGTTTCCTAACCTGTGGTTCATGGACCCCTTAGGGGTCCATGTATCATATTTTGGGGGTCCGCCGACTGCTCCTAATTTTTAAAACGTTTGGATCAATAATATTTAAATAACATTGATCTTTTTTTCTTTCTAAAAGGTGAAAATACATACATATTTGAAACTAGGTGATCGAGATACCCCAAATTCAGTACGGACTGCACACAGCCCTCTAATATCCCGGTCATATTTTCAACATCCTCCACTAACCGGCTTTCAATTTGCACCATCAGGGGCAACCTCCTGATGACGTCCGCTGTACTATTTTTATTACTCCCTATCAAGCTACGTACATTTGACCAGGGCTAAAGAGAATAGAAGGTCTAGTTCACTCCGCTCTTAGAACTGAAGCTACGATTTCCTTCCTCATGACGTCACTGTGTCCACAGATCTCGGAAGATCGCACGCAAAGATATTATGATAACTTTGCATCTTTCTCTTTTTAAAAATAAGTTAAGACTTTTTCTGGTTATTAGCTTTCAAACTTTACGTAATTAACACATTATTTCCATTCATAAACATAATTTAAAAAAACTTTCTTGGCCAAAATATTAAAAAAAATACCATTTTAAACTTATAAAAATATTTTACTAGTTGGCGAAAATGACACTATAAATACTTTGTTTTAAAAAGTTCAGTTTTCGACACTTTTTTTATCTACATATTCTTTCATAAGAATAAGTTGAGTTAAATTTAGAATCCCCGATTTTAAAATATGCCGTTAATAGCAATTTGTTCATACCTTATCATTAGGAAACATCAACCTTAAACGATAATTACTGAAACAAAATAATAATTTAGGTTCATAATGACATTAGAAATTTTACAATTGTTTATAGATATTTAAATTTACGATGGTATAATTTATAGATATTTAAATTTAAGAGAGTATAATTTAAAAAAAAAAATCATAAATATTAAGAATAATTACATTAAAAAATATGTTATGAAATTAGGAGAATTCCAACTATATACTATATATTTTATTTATCTTTTTTATTTACATTTTAATTTTCTTTGACTTTATCCATTTTTTTCACCTGCCTTTCTTTTTGAAGTAACGAGGCGGTTTCTATTTAGATAATGAATTTTTATAAACGTTCTTAACGACAGAATAAACGTATTGCTGTTTTATATTAACTGTGTCATTTCGGAATCCATTCTTTGTTCATTTACTTTAGAGAACACGAGGAAAATTATATTTTTTCCTTTTGTTTTTCTAACAAAATTTTTTCAAGTTGCAATCGCGCAAACTGGCATTTCGATAGTAGTTTTAAATTCTTGTAAATTCGCTGCAAAAACTGAGGAAAGTCATTATAGAAAATAACAAATGTCTTAGAATATGTCGCAAAAAGAAATGCTCCAATATTAGTTAAAGCTAGTAAGGCCGAAAGCTCCGTTCTTGAAGTAAAAGTGCCAGCTTTGCGCCAAAGTGACGTCACTAGAGAAAATCGGAGGATTGGCGCGGCGAGAGCTACTTCAAAGGAGTGAACCAGCCCTTCTCTTTAGCCCTGACATTTGACACCTTGTTCAGGTTACTAGATCTAGAATTTTTTACTAAGAACAATGCCTAGTTTTTGAAATCTGGAACATTAGACTAACTTGGATTTTGTATTCCACAAAAACCTCTGGTTGTGGCATATCTCAAAGTTGCATATCATATTGCTAAAACAAGAAACCGCATACTATTGGAGAGACGTTAATTAAGCCATTATCGCTGGAGATGGTTGAATTAGTTTGTAGATTGGAACAAAGAAAAAAAACTTGAGGCAATTCCATTTTCAAATGATGTGACACAATCAAGAATAGTTTTCTTGGAATATCTTAAAAAAGATCATCAATGACTTGAAAGTATCGCCATTTCCCTTTAGTATGCAACTGGATGAAACTACCGATATCTCGAATTATAGTCAACTTCTTGTTTTTGTTCGTTACGTGTCTCTTGATACTATCAAAGAAGAATTTTTATTTTGTGAGTCTCTTTTGCAAACTACAAAGGCAGTTGATGTTTTAGCAATGTTAAATGCTTTCTTTACCAAACAAGACTTCGTCTGGAAAGAAAAACTTCATTCACTTCGTACAGATGGAGCACATGTGATGCTTGGCAATAAATCTGGTTTTGCCCTGTTGGTAAAAAAAAGTCTCCTAATGTTCTTGTTACTCATTGTTTTTTACATAAACATGCGCTGGCTACAAAAACTCTTCCAACCAGCTTAAAAGAAGCATTATCAAAAGTTATTAAAACTGTAAATTTTATTAGACGTAGAGCTCTTAATCATCGTCTCTTTAAAACGCTGTGTCAAGAAATGGACGCAGAACATGAGGTACTTCTGTACCACACGGAATTGCGCTGGCTGTCACGAGGGCAGGTTTTGAAACAATTTTTCATGTTGAAGATCGAATTATCACTTGTTCTAGAAGAAAAAGATAACTCATTCTTCGAATATTTAAACAAAAAAGATTTTACCTATAAATTGGCTTACCTGGCAGATAATTTTAACCACATGAACAATATAAGTCTTTTAATTCAAGGACCCGATATCACCATTATGGATGCAACTGAGAAATTACAAGCATTCTAATTGAAGATGCCACTTTGAAAAAAATAGAATTCAAAATGAGATATATGCAAACTTTTAAATGTTGGACGAAGTGCTTTCTGAAAATGGATCTTGGCAAGATAATTTGTTACTGAATAACTTAAAATATCTGTGAACACCTAGAAGTACTTCAAGTTTCATTGAAAAAATATTTTAATTTAGATGAGATAAAGATAAAAGATGAGTTGTGGATTCGTCATCCTTTCTTTGTGATATTGACTGTATCGATGATATGAACCTTGCCAAAGATGAGCTTATTGATCTTAGAACTAAGTCCTTGCTAAAAATGGATTTCGATTCAAAAACACTCGGAGAGTTCTGGTCTTCTGTGAAAGAAGCCTACCCATTGCTTGTAAAGCGAGCTATTTCAGCTATAATTCCGTCAGCTACAGTGTATCTTAACGAAGCCGGACTTTCCACAGTTGTGACAATAAAAACAAAACATCGTTATCGATTGAATGTTGAACATGTTATGCTCGTTGCTTTGTCGAAAACCATCCCTCTATTCAATTTATTAATTAAGGAAAAGCATTAACAACCTTCAGGCTAAAAATTTAAAATATTTTGTATACTATTGAAATAATAAAATTAAATGCTAAAATAAACTAAATTCTAAAAATTGATGTTTTTTTGCAATTTTTTTTCTCAGAGGGGTGGTCTGTGACTTCTTAAAAAACTTTAAAAGGGGTCCATTGTATCAAAAAGGTTAAGAAACACTGAGCTAGGCAGAAGTGAGTAGTCTTTGTCGATAGATCTCTATTTTAGTATTTTGTCGAAAGCGCTTTTTTTCACGAATTTACCTATGTATTACGAATTTATTTGACGATTTTTGATTTATATCACGAATTATACTATAGCACATTTCTAATAGGTTTAACGAATTACATGTCATTCATTTGAATTCAAATTTATTTTAATGACTTAATATTAACAAAAAAGATGTAATTTTTTTTTAAAAAAATGTTTTTTTTATGGATTTGAATGATTGTGAATTCTTAGAATTGTGTGCATTTGCAATGTACCTAAGTTAGTAGCGAGCGAAGCGATCTTGGTACGCGAAGCAAACCATATAAGNGCGAGCAGGGGGCGCAGCCCACTAGTTTGAATAGATTTTACGATTTTTCATCTGATTATGTTGAAAAGATATAGCAATATAGTGAATTACAATAAAAAAAATATTAACAATATTGTAAGAAATAAAGTTTAACTGCACCATGAAATCAAAATTTAAATAATAATGAAAAAAACAATCAGTTAAAATTTATATTTTGATCGCTTTACAAACTTGTAAAACTCAACTTCGATAGCTTAAAACTCGAATTTTTGCTTAGTGACATCATGCTTGCTGAAATGCGGTGCGATTAAAATATTTTTGTTATTTTTAAAAAATTAAACCAAAGGTTATTCCGCTCATTCGTCATCTTTAAAAATATTTTTTTCCATTAATTGGAATTCAACAGTTTTAAATCAAAATTTTATTTGATATCAAGATTTGGATTCGCACTTATGGCACGAGGTCCAGATGGACAAACTGTTCCAAACAAAACTGGCAGAAGTGCAAGACACAATTAGTGTTATTAAGTACTAAAAATACATGAAGCAGATAAAACGGTTCATACAGGTAATTTCATACATCCAAAAGAACATCTTTGAAATTGAACTTCTTTTTAAGCAACCTCATATTTCGAGAATTAAAATAATGTCAAGACAGAAATGACACATCTAATCATTAATTTAGTCCTCCCCGTGAATAATAAGCAAATTCAGGAAATAACTTTTCCATTTTTCCCAAAATTCTTCGTTTCCTTTCTTTTAATCAATAAACCATTTTCAGCCCAGGACAATATCTTACATCATTCTTTTATTAACCATTTTCGTCCGTTCTCGACTTTTAACTACTTTGGGAGAAAACAAACTTTACTGAAAGAGCTTTTCTCTTTCATTATCTTAAAAGTCAATTCTCTTTGTTTTCCGCGAAGTCGTCTGGATACTTTAGTTTGGAGGGAAAATGGTTGCCCATTAAGGTATGACAATAAAGGTTAAGAACTGAAGACAATGAGTCATTAAATAAAGCTGTCAAAGAGAACCTGTAATTGGCTTTCATTTTGTGGATGATAACACTATCGGTTTCTAACTATGGATAATTTATAAAATGAAATATATCGCCTGCTGGTAGAATTGATTATGGAAACAAATTTATTACTATCTTACATTTAAAGTTTCAATGTGATTTAACACGTTGAATGCCACGCTAATTTTACATAACTACAAGCTAAATTTGCAAAATTTAGAAAGATTTTGCTAGTTTTTTAAAAGCTTTGCATGACACATCTAAAAAAAAAGGGATGAATTATATAAGATAAAACCAAGATTATTAGAAACACATATAAATCTACGAATTGTTTAGAAATAGTAGTGGATAAAAATCTACTAAATTGAACTTATTAAACCAAGAATCACAATTAATAAACTACCACTTGAAAATATTTATTCGCTGTCTGGAGCATGTTGGCATCTCTGTGCATATAAATGAAACTATTTTTGTGTGTTCTATATTGCACTGATTTCTTCAAACCATTTTACTAACGATAATAATATAGAAAAATTAAAAATTTACTCGAATTATGTGTTTCAAACAATCTTGGCTTTGCCTGTCACCGGTGACCCCGTGGCGCTACGAACAAACTCAGTGCCGGTCACCGATGACCTGCGTTCAACGTGTCAATGAATATTTTTTCTACACAGTTTTAAGAATTTTTGGTAGAATATTATACTTTATAAAATAATATAATATCATGCACTACACTAATTTATTCAGAGGACCCCATACCACGAGAGAAACTTTTCGGCACAGATTCTCTTTCACCTCCATGACATGGCATTTTATTTTAACAGCCGACCCAATTTTCGGGTTTACGACTACTAATGTTCGACTCCGTAGCCTTGAAATTTTGAACCTAATCTAGAAGACTCCTGGATCAAGTATTGAGAGAAATTTGTCTTCGTGGTGAACTTAACCCGCATTTGTGTTACATGGAGAGGAAGACCACGAGAACCACCCAAGGTTAGGCTGATGGCAAGGGGACTCTAAACCAGGATCCGTCTACCACAGAGGATATTTCACGTCCGCACTATGGTCGGTGCAAGCCGGATACGGAATTCGTATCGACCAATCATCGCTGGGATTCGAACCCGATTCACCTCATTGGAAGGCGAATGTTCTATCCCTTGAGTTATCGCGGCTCAAAATTTAAAGTATAGAAAAAGTGAGTTCACACAAACCTAGATTAAGGTTTCAGAAACAGGAAGCCATGAAGTTGGTAATTGATTCGAGCAGAGGCGTACCTAGGGGGGGGGCGGTCCGCACCGGGCGGCACTTACCTTGGGGCGGCATTTTTTATATTTACTTATAGTTGTAAAAAGCAACTTTTTAATTTCATATTTATTTTCTTTCTTGAATAATAAATTATTATTATGATTATTATAAGTTTAATATTTGGTTTATATAAATTATGATTAACTATATGATTTCGAATATTATTCCTCGGTGTATATAAATGCATTTTAGTGTAAATTTTGAATTCTAATTCAAGAACAAGATAATAATTTTATTTTATTGTATTCATTAAAATTCGTTGAATTCGTAAAAGGATCTTTACGATTTTGTTCGGCAATTTTTCCTAACTAAAATTTTTTGATATCAGTTTATAAATGTCATTTCTTTTGAAAAGTTTATATGATTACTTTGAAGTGATATATCAATATTTTTTTAAATCATCGATTTTTCTTTTGAAAAGCAGGGCCGGCGGAAGGCGGTCTAGGCGGGAAGGCGGAAGACCTAGCAGACCGCCGGTCTGCTAGGTCTGCAAAGCATTAGGGCGCCGGCATAAGAACTATCTTTTTCAAACAACAAAATCTAAACGAGACAAAACAAAAATACTGACGAAGTTACAATTTCAGGAATCGCAAATAGATAAATATACTCAGTCCGTTTTGAAGAATTGTATTTGGAATGATAAATTGCTTATAAACCATTTTGTTCATTCGCGATTCAATCTTTTAACAGTGAAGAGTGAAACAAATTATTAGGGTGCCAGTGCATTTGGAGAGTTTATTATAGGTAAGTATATTATATTACGTATTATAGATATAGATGTTATTCTAAATGCTATTCAGAGTAGTAAAATGACTTTGCCGTTTTCTATACATAATATACTATTTATTTCGACAAGTTATATTTTTATTATATATCCCTAGGATGAAACGAGTAAAAGAAAGTGGTGCGTCATTTAGAAAGAAAAGGAAGAGAAGGGAGGAAATACAGACTAAAAATACTGGAGCACTACTCAAATATATCTCCCATAAGTCAACTTCTAGTTCTTTTAGTATTGTTGCCTCAAATACGGGCGAAGAAGCAGCCCTCGAAGGCGAAAAAACATTTTCCAATGTTGTTCAAGAGGAAAGACCTGCTTCACACACTGGCGAAGAAGTAGAAAGTTCATCAAGTTCTGATGAAGAATCTGCTGCACAAATTATTCCGTCTATTTCTATGAAAGATATTGGATTATGGCCTAACAAAATTGACGACAATACAAGAGTATTTCTGGTACGTCAAGGTCCCTTTGCAATTCAAAATTTGGACGCCGACTTCAGCGAAGGAGTAAAACGTCCTAATAATACAATCAAAGCCAAAGGTGAAACAAGAAAACTGAGTCAGGACTGGTTTTTTCAAATTTTGCCTAATGGCGAAAAGCTCTTAAGATCGTGGATGGTATATTCACCATCGAAGAAAAGTATTTATTGTTTCTGCTGCAAACTGTTTGATAATCTTTGTCAAGCAGGTTTTAATACGGAAAATGGTTTTAACAAATGGTGGAAACTTAATCCCAAAATTAGTCAACATGAGGTGAGTCCACTGCACATTCGATCATATTCCAAATGGAAGGAATTAGAAATAAGACTTGGACGTGGCGCAACTATTGACAAACTACAACAACAGAATATTGATAAAGAAATAAAAAAATGGAAGGAAATTCTAACAAGAATACTTGATATAATTAGATTCTTAGCAAAACAAAATTTGGCGTTTCGAGGACATCGTGAAAGTGTTCATCAGGAAAACATCGATTCAATGGAAAATAGAGGAAATTTTCTTGAGCTTGTTGACTTATTGGCTAAGTACGACCCAGTATTACGAGAACACGTAGTAAAAATTAAGATGGGTAATAAATATAGTATCTCTTATTTGTCGCCGAAGATCCAGAACGAATTCATAGAGCTATTGGGAGGCGCAGTCAGAAAAACAATTATGGATCAAATAAAGCAGGCTAAATACTTTTGTATTATATTTGACAGCACTCCTGACATTTCACACAAAGATCAAACCAGTCAAATTATTAGATATGTAGTTATTGATGGTAGCGAAGTTAAAGTTGTAGAATCGTTTATTGACTTTGTAGAAACTAAAGGAAAAACTGCTGGTGAAATCACAGATATGATTTTAACGAAATTAGAAAATGACGGTTTAGATATAAAAAATTGCAGAGGACAGGCTTATGATAATGCTGCCGTCATGGCAGGAAAGCACAGCGGTGTTCAAACTCGTATTAAAGAAATAAATCCAAATGCAGAATTTGTAGCATGTACAAATCATTCTTTAAACCTGGCATGTTTACACGCAGCTTCTACAGCTATCAATTCCATCACATTTTTTGGAACTATCGAACAGTTGTTTTCGTTGTTTTCTTCTTCCACTCATAGATGGAATGTTTTACTTTCTGTCACTGGTCAAGGTGTTAAACGCAGTGTAGAAACTCGCTGGAGCGCTAGAGCTGCCGCGGTAACTATAGTAAAAAAACATTTTTTTTACATTTTAAGCGCTTTGGAAAAATTGACATCTGAAGAAGAAAATAGTAAAACGAGATCAGATGCTGGAGTATTACTCAATTCTATGCAATCTTTTTCTTTTCTATGTTACCTTCATTTATGGGAACCCGTCCTTTTGGAAATTAATGACGCTCAAAAATACCTGCAAATAAAAGGGTTAAATGTCCACCAATGCCATATAAAACTAAATTCTTTGCAAACACATTTCATGGAACAAAGAGATACGCTAGTACAAAACGCTGTTATAGCAGCCAAAATAATTTGTGAAGAGTTGGAGATATCGACTGAGCGTCGAGTTAGAAGGAGAAAAAATATGAGTGGGGAAAATTCGCGAGACGTGGGGCTATCCTTAGAAGAAGAAGTACGAAGAGAAATGTTTTCATCTATGGACAGAATTATAAAGGAAATAAAAGAACGCTTCGATCAGTTGCATGGCCTTGTAAGAAAATATTCGTGTATAATACCGTGTAACCTACTAAATGAAGAATTTGAATGTCAAATAAATGACTTGATTGACATTGATAAAGAACAGTTCCATATTGAAAGAAAAAGGATCCAGGTTTTTATGGCTGTACCTACACTAAAAGAAGAGGCAAAACATTGGAAAAACGGGGAGAAGGGCCCTCTTGATCTGCTAAAATTTATTCAGCAGTATAGGTTGGAAAATTCTGTTCCCAACATTGTAATTTTGTTAAGAATTTTTTTAACAATTTCAATCAGTGTCGCTAGTTGCGAAAGAAGCTTCTCAAAATTGAAGTTGATAAAAAATTATCTTCGTTCTACAATGAGTCAATTAAGACTACAAAATCTTGCAATATTGTCAATAGAACAAGAAATTACAAATAATATAAATTTTGAGAGCATTATACACGATTTTTCTAGTATGAAAGCTAGAAGAGTAGATATTATATAAATATGTTTACGAGTGCATACAAATATGTCTAAAAAAATTTACTCTGTGTATTAATTAATATTGATTAAATAACTTAATAATTTATTTATGTGTATTAATTTATAAAAACCACTATTTGATTGACTTATAATAGAAAGGGCGGCAAACTGGAGATCGCCCCGGGCGGCAAAAGTTCTAGGTACGCCACTGGATTCGAGTTGCCATGAGTTGATTAGAAGATGATTCTACATCTTCTTATCTTAAAAAGTGTTCCGAAAGAACTATCCGAAGAATCATTCTATTCCGAAGAATTATCCGAAATGTAAATAATAAACATGTGAGAAATTAAATTTTTTTATTGCGTTTTATTATTTAAGCATCTAACTTTATTCTACATTGTAATATTACATTTTTGTAATGTCCATTTACTTTTTGCAATTCATAGTATGCGGATCTTTCATTCCAATTCATTGCATGATGAATATACTAAAAATAGAGTTTTAACCTTCACACAAAAAACTATTAAGTCTTTATTTCCGAATGTAAATCTTTCATTCTAATTCATGATAAATTATTTCATGAATAGTACAGTAAAAAATAGGTTTTAACTTGAAGCTCTCAAAAAAAAATATTAATTCTATTGACTAATGTTTGATTTTATTCAATTTAGCGCAAAAAATGAAAAGGTAATACTACTTCATTTGAATAGATGGCAAAGTCGATGAATAAATAGGTGCAAGAAATTTTTGTATACAAAACCCTTATAACTTCTAAACTATTAGTCCAATCGTCTCGTGATTGGTCTCATTCAATTGAGCTTAAAAAAAGTACATCAGAAACAATGCATCACTTGCCCTGCAGAAAAAATTCTGCTCTCCGTCTTAAAACCACCCTCGTTTTTCTCCAAAAACAAGGGAGGCGTACAGAGAAGAGATCATTTGTGATGACATAACAAAACGAAAAAAGATCTTGGGTGTTAATTTTTTCCAAGAAAAAGTCGAATTTTTCTCTTTTAATTATAGTCTTTTCGATTTATTGATGTCTAAAGTTCCGACTTCATACTATGATTTACGATTAAAAAAAACACAGCTCATAAGGACTGTTGGGACTTGCATGCAATTGTAAAGCACGGATTTTATTTTAAATATTTTTTTAAAAGCAAATAGCATTAATACTGTCGCTAAAATAGAAATTTTATAATGGAAAAAATGAGCAAAACCATTCCAATATTTCTTCAGCTAATTCAGCAAAACTTTTTTATTAGAAGAATAGAGAAAAAAAATTGAACTAAGTTCCTATTGCATTTTGTAATTAATCCTTTTTTTAAACTACTTGATGTGTACTCTGGGAGTTTTTACCCAGACCTTTTCACCTTTCAGTTTAGCAAAGCTCGTAAAAAAGTGTGTAATATACCTTGATAAAAAAAAACAAAGAAAAAAAATTGTATCGATACATGACATTGCGAGAATTTCTAACATTCCAAAACTAATTCTTGATATAATTATAAGAATTGAAACGCAATGAAAAAAAAAGCTTTTCTGAAGAAAAAAAAGTTTACCTTTTTATTTTTTAATAAATTAGAATGATCGAACTTTAATGAATGCATTCTCGGAAATCTCCGATTGAAGCATTAATAGAAAGCGCATTTACTTTATTAAGAGTAAGAAAAAAAGTGCAGAGTCAATTTATTTCTTATTGACTTATTTCAATTTTAACTTGATGCAATTATAATTCTAATTAATTTAGGGATGGTCTCTTGTTTATTATCAGATAAATATTGAAGTATTTGTTCTATCAATATGCAGAAAAATGGAAAAATATTTTAATTAATTTTAAACAATTATTAGAAATAGTGTATAAGGATATAAAAATACAGGTTTAGAGATAACACTTGTCAACTTTTTTATTTTTGTTTTCTGTTGCATGAAATATTTAAACGGAGTTTTATTTTTGAGTCGCTGATTTAAAATTTGTTTACGTATAGCACAATCCAGTTTAGTTTATACGAGTTCTTAGGTTTATATGAGTACATATTTTCTTCGAGATTTAATGAATAAGTTCAGAAAGATTAGCTGCACTGTTTTAACAATATTTATCAAAAGCAGACTATATTAAGTTTACATAAAATCATATTTCCTGGAGTAAGGGGTTCGTCTTCCTGAAGTAAATACAAAGTTGATAACTTAAAAGTGTTATGAGTCAAAATCAGTTTATAGCTTTATATAGATGATTGCGGAACTTAACTTGTGTCATAAACTCTACATTCAATGAGAAACGTAGAAAAATATATTAATGGAAAAGGTTTATAGCTAATTAATGAAAACTCACTAAGAGCTGAAAACTATTATGGGGCATTGTATACCACATATGAAATACTTGTTTTGTAACATAAATATATTTTTCTATATTTAACTGTAATACAGGCTTTAATTGTCATAATGTCATAAATGTAATCATGTTACTTTAATACAGTATATTTTTGTTAAATTAATAAAAATTGGTATGATTTAATTAAATACCTCTTCAATATAATTTATGTAATTAATTACGAATTATTAGCTTCGTGCGGAACTAAATTGTTTTTTTTTCCAATATGTTACATACACAACATTGGGTTAAAATATTTTAAATAATTGGTTATTATTTAAATAATTGTCTCTCAGAAAATTTGCTATGAACAATTCATAATTAAGTGGATTAATTCTTAGTTTAATTTTTATACTGTAATGCTAACAATGTTCTTATTTTATATCTCTGTTTTATCCCTGGCATTTCATTGTTCGTTAACCTTTTGAAATGAATTCAATTGAATGTGGGGTTTAGTGGCACAAGGTCCAAAAAAGGACATACTGCGCCAAGCACACGGTTTTAAAAACAGATTAAAAGATTAAGTAAAGCACACGTATAAAATCTGATAAGATAGTGAAAATTCTAAAACAATGTTGTAAAGTTACATACATTAAAACCAATAAAACTGCATGGTAAATTTACTAAAACACTGAATAGTATGAAGCAATTAAATACAACTTAAAATTCCAATAGCGCGTAAAAATGCAAAGATGTTAGGATGGTGATTTTTATCTAACAAGTCTCTTATATATAAAATCGTGCTTCCAAAAAATGTGAGGCGTTGTTGGTTAGAACATGGGCAAGCGATTAAAATATGATGAATCGAAAGTGAAACGTTACAAGTATCGCATCGAGGGGGTGGTTCTCCGAACAGAAGGTGAAGATGAGTCAGTCGAGTATGTCCTATACGTAGGCGGGTGAGCTTGACATCTGCTCCGCGCAATTGCAACGGGTCTGGTTCATTTCATCGACAATCACTTCATCGACAGGCCATTTCATCGACACCACTTCATCGACAGGCCATTTCATCGACTAGGTNCGACGAAATGACCCTGTCGACGAAATGGCCTGTCGACGAAACAACCCTGTCGAGGAAACGGCCTGTCGACGAAATGACCTAGTCGATGAAACGGCCTGTCGATGAAGTGGTGTCGATGAAATGGTGTGTCGATGAAGTGATTGTCGATGAAATGAATGCGACCCCAATTGCAACACAGGCCAAGGCTCTAGCGTGGATTTAATTGTGTGCAGTTTGTTTTCAATTTGTAAATCCCAGTGTTGCTGCCACAAAGACATAGTAAACTGTCGTATGTAATTCTTCATGTCAGAAATGGGGGTTAACCTTTTGATGTTGCCCTCGTATTGTTACTGACTCAAAACTAAAATTCTTTTATCGTAAGAATTGCTAATGTGTTCCTTTAACTGATATTTTGTGAGTGGGGATTTTCTCATTACTTGTTTAAGACTAACTATAATTTAGTTGTCACCATTTCTCAAAACTATTTCGCTCATGAGCTGCAATAGTGGCACAACTGCCACCACACGCGTTTTGGACCAAGAATAGGTGTAAATATGAAAATACACAATCTTTCAGCAGCAATACTAGCACAACTCATAAATCAACTTGAAGGTAATCTTCGTTTAAGCAAACGAATATATTTCTTATGCATTTTGCTTCGCAATGAAAACTTTAAACCCACTGATTTAAAAGCTTGATTTTTTGAGTTGTGCTGCTATTGCAGCTCATGAACGATTTAACACCTGCAGATTAGGCTGTGGCCTTCAAGTAACTTTCCTTTGTAGCTAAAACACCGGCTCTTCAAAAAACATTTTTTGACGCACGTCATATATTTTATTTCATAACCGTCGTTGAACAGCAGACCCAATTCTTGAGTTTACGAATACTAATGTTCAACTACGTAGCCTTGTAATTTTGAACCCAATACAGAAGACAAGGGAACTCTTGGATCGAGTATTGGGAGAAATCTGCCTTCGTGGAGAACTTTTTGATGGATCTAACCAGTATTTGCGTTGCATGAAGAGGAAGACCACGAGAACCTCCCACGGCTAGTCTGACGGCAAGAGGACTCTAACCCATGATCCGTCAACCACTGAGGATATTTCACGTCAGTACTGTGGTCGGTGCAAGCCGGATGCGGAGTTCGTATCGACTGGGATTCGAACCTGGTTCGCCTCATTGGAAGGCGAACGCTCTATTCCCTGAGCCATCGCGGCTTTGACGATATATATTCGACGAACCGACTTTTTGGACTTAATTTTACCCTTTTCTTGCCAAATTTGGCTAATATAACTTCTTTCATTAACACTGATTAGGCGCATATTCATTTACCGAGCAAACCAATTTGGCTTTCCGCCAATGTAAGCTAAGATTAAAAAGGCTGTGTTTTGTCGGAAA